GCTAGGACAGGGTTGCTGGAACCCAGGCAGCGTCACGGCGCCTGCTTTGTGGGGAGCCCCTGGCCGCCTCCCCTCACAATGAGGACCTCTGTTCTTGGGCACCTCCCACGCGGTGTGGCAGTGCAGTGCCCTGGGGCCTGTGTGTGTCTGCGAGGTGAACACAGAGGCTTCTTGTTGGCGATCCTGGAAATGCAAAGCGAACATCTGCTGGGCTGCCGTTCTTACCTGGAAGGAGAGCCTATGCTCATCAGGCACACTCTTGAACTGGAGGGAACAAGGGGCCTTGCCTCTCTGGGCCTCCATTTCTCCATCTGTAAAATGGAAATTCTAATATTTTCCTCACTACGTGTTGGTGAGGATCAGATGAGGTGATGTGTGTCTGGAAAGCTGAAACAACAGGCGCCCATCGTCATGGGAATAGAGTTTTAGAGTTTTAGTTTTTCTGCAAGTGTTTGTGGGTTGTTGTGGAAGTTTATGGTGTTTTCTTAGACTCCAGGGGTCATGTAGTCTACCCCACCTCCCAATCCAATGCACAGTCTCCCCACCTCACCCCCTCCAGGGGGCCCCTTCTGTGCCCTCCATCCCTGCCCTTCTCCACCCTCACCCCCTTTCCCTCTCACAGACACACTCGGAGTCCCACCTGGCTGTTGGCAGCGTGCAGGAACCCACGCCAAGGCCTGCGTGCAAGGCGTGCCTTGGGCACCTTGCTCTGCCTCTGTACCCTTGTCTTTCCAGAGTAATAGGACATCGGTGAGGAAACACCAGGTCCGGAACAGTCTCTAGGCCCCTAGATGGTTTACAAACGTGGCCATATTCATTTCTGACTCATCCACAGACAGCTTCCTTGCAAACCACTTTTGCACATGGTGTCATGTTTTTAATCATTTAAGTCTCATCGCCTCTGCTTAAAGGAGACACCATCCTGTCCTGGAGGACTGGGAGGGTCGTAGACTCCACGCCTGCCAGAAAGCAGCAGGACAGTCTGAACACGGAGAACGGCGCTGGCCTTACCTGGGGCCTGAGGACCCTGGGACCCTGTTGCTCCTTTCCAGTTCTCTTAAATGACCCCTATCTCAGGGGCCACCGCCCACACCTTTTGTCAGGGGTGAGGACAGGAGGATGTCTAGCAGGTCGTCAACTCTTCTCTCCAGCCTGGAGTCCCAAAGCAGAGGGCTCAAGGGCTGGAGGCCACACTGCCGAGCTTGGCAGCCTGCTGCTGTGAGCTTGGGTGAGGTAGCTGCCCACACCAGGCCTCGTCTGTAAACGTGGACAGTAATAGCACTGACCTCACAGGTTTGCCTTGGCGATTAGAGGAGAACGTGCACGTAAGGTCCTCTGCGGTGCCTGCCCATGCACAGGAAGCACTAAAGAGTCAGCCCTTTTCAAAACTGTTTTATAATAATTTGAGGAGGCAGTCTAGCTCCTAAGTTCCCTTTCTGGATTGATGAATGGAGGTTTGATAGTCCTGCCGAGCTGGGTGGAGAGTCATTCATTCAACAGATATCGAGCATCTGCTGTACATCAGGCACTGTTCTAGGTGATGTGGATTCAGCCTTGAACAAGACCATAAAATGTCCTGTCCTCTTGGAGTTTCCAACTTAGGAATTCTAGCAAGAGTTGAGGAAAAAGGTTATTTCTGATTTATCCCCTTGAGTATATGAAAGGGAATTGTTCTAAGCATGGATGTGACTGTGGGTCACTGATGGTCTGCTACTTACAGCGTGCCTGCCTGGACCTTGCTACACCTTCTGTTACTGGCCACCTCCACAATCCTTCACATGTAGGTGGTGTCAGCCCTGGATTGCAGGTGAGGCAGCCAAGGCTCAGAGAGGTTTAGAAACATGCCCAAAGTCACACAGTTAGTAATGGCAGAGGATGATTCAAACTCGGGTCTTCCTGGCTCCCAAGTCCACACCCTTTCCATGATGCTGAGCTACTGCAATTCCTGTGTTCCCTAGCCTGTTTCAGCCCATGGACTACTCATTGGAGCCAGCTGCATGCCGACCTCAGGGATTGTCAGGGAAGACTGAGGCACAAGGCCCCATCTCTGTAGAGTGTCCATCTAGTTCTGAGAAGACACCTACATACCTCACTTTAGTACAGAGGCCAGTGCAACGACTGTAGTGCAGACAAGCTACTCAGGGGCTCAGAAGAGGAGAAAGGAATTCCACCTGGAGGTCTAGGGCAAGGAGGTAGCATTGGAGCTGAGCGTTGAAGAATAGCTGGGATTTTTGCGCACAAGAAGAGGAGAAAGGAATTCCACCTGGAGGTCTAGGGCAAGGAGGTAGCATTGGAGCTGAGCTTTGAAGAATAGCTGGGATTTTTGCGCACGGAGATAGTGAAGGTACATACAGCCAAAGCACAGGCCTAAAGGCAGACACTGGATGGGTGTGGAACCCAGAGGGGTTTTGTAGGGGAAGATTCAACTGGAAGGTCAGGTTGGAACCAAGTCTCTGAGGATCTTGAATGCTGGAGTGAATTTTTCCTTTGTCCCAGGGCACTGGGGAGCCACCGAGGGTTTGTAAGCCTGAGAAACTGTGCTTTAGAGGTCCATGGGCTTTTTGGAGGTTGCTCTCTCTGGCCACCTCTAAACAGTGGACAGAAAGGAGATGGACCCTGAAGGAATACAGTTATTTTGCCTAAGCAAAGATTTTTTTTTTTAAGTACACTTCCCATGCTAGGAACTGCAGTGAGTTTAGGGGCAGACAAGAGACTGGAGAGGGCAAAGAGAAAGTCAGCCCAAGTTGCAGTGCCCACAGACCACCCAGACTGTCTGGGAAGAGTAGCAGCAGTGAGTTTAGGGGCAGACAAGAGACTGGAGAGGGCAAAGAGAAAGTCAGCCCAAGTTGCTGTGCCCACAGACCACCCAGACTGTCTGGGAAGAGTGGCGTCCCTGGAGCCCCAGACAAAGTGCCAAGAGCTGAGAGCACCAAGGGGTAGAAGCTGGTTCTCTGCAGGCAGGATCGGGGAAGCTTTGTGGAGGGGCTGGTACCTGTGCCAGACGTCGGAGGCTTCTGGACATCATCAGCTTCTGGATGTCATCAGATGGAACAGAAAAGTGGTAATTCCAGGCCTAGAGGTGGAATACACCATAGGGAGGCCAGAGGATTGAGGCACAGCTCCTGCCAGGCCCACCTTGGGGGTTCTTGAGGGGAAGGAAGACCTGAGGGTGGGGTGAGCCCAACCCTGCAGACCCACAGTCCTGGGCTCAGACCTAGCCTGCTGCTTGCCTTAAGGACCTGGAGTTTTTTCTCACCCTGCCTCAACCTCCATTCCCTCCCCTAATGGCAGGTTTATCAGGAAGGCTACACTTAATGTCTTCTGTCGTTGGCAGCGACCAAACTTCAGGACTCATGGGTATAAAGTCTGTAATACAAGTAGAAAGGGGAACACCAGCTTTGGAGACCAGTCAGAGGAGGACCAGGAAAGCCTTCCTGAAGGTGGGGGGCACATGAGCTGGGTCTTACAGGATGAGGCCTTTCACCAAGCCAGAACTTTTGGAAAGACATTTGGAGTGAGACAAAGGTGGCTGGCTGAGCCCTGGAGGACATTAACCAGGCCACCTCTCCCACCACCACCAGGATTCTGCTCCCCGTCGTCAGAACCAAAGTCAGAAAGGCCCCTAGTGCCTCATCCTACACGCTCTGAGTCTCATTTCCCTCCTGCAGGACTCTGACTTCCATTTTTAATTGCCTATAGGTGGAATTAATTAGGTTCTGTCATTCTAACTACTCACGGGGGTAGCATATTTTTGTCTCTAAATGCATATATCCTTTTGAGGGATTGTGTCTTTATCTTTTGTGGAAAAATCACTAAATTAAAAGAATTGCCATGTTAAATTGCAGATTAAAGAGAAACTTAATTAGAAGGAAGGAAAGCAATTGTGCTCAAAGCTTTTGTTTTTAAATTTTTTTTCTTTTACTGCCGAATCACTGCATTTGGAGTTAGTATATTTGTATTTTAGGTGAAATGATTTGCCTAATTAAGCCTGTCAGTCATCACCACCTGTCCTCTCTAAACTATATGGCTATAGTTTAAATTAAGCTTGCCAGTGAATGTATAAATTAATTCCGTGGGGAGTTACAGAGTTGACTAGGACGTTATTAGGTTTTATCCAATTTATCTGGTATGAAAAACGATACTTTTTCCCAATAAAGCAAAGCAGCAGCTCATTAAGTTTCTTCATTTAGTCATTGCTTGAGCACCTATTTTGTTGCAGGAACTGTGCTAGGCATGGGGGTGTGGGGCACATATGGTGCAGCCCCTGTCCTCAAGGGGCTCACAGGGAACCGGAAGAGGACAATGGCAATGAGGGTGCCATGGGCTGAGATCAACATGAGTCTTGGGAGGAGGCGCAGTCAGGGAAGGCTCCCTGGAAGAGATGGCTCCTCAGCACGTAAGTGGAGTCAGGAGAAGAGGCTGGATAGGCAGCCATGTCCCAGAGAGCCTCATAGGCTGTGCTGAAGAGCTCAGCTTCCTTCTGCCGACTGTGTTCCATGGTCCATGCCTCTCTTCTCACCTTCTGTGGCAGGAGGTCTGTGTGGGATTTTATATTGGCAGAAATTCCCAAATCTTGATTTTAGCCAGTGCAGCCCCAGGATGTCAGGGGTAAAAGTGACTTACAGTTCCTCTGGTTCCTCCCTCTCCTGAGCATGTGGGAGAACTAAGCCCAGAACCTCGTCTCCAGCCTCACCTCCTTCCCGTGCCAGGAGGCCTGCTGAGCTGCTTCCTCTGTGCCCTGACGACGGGAAAGTTAGCAGAGGGGAGGCACTGTGGGGAAGTGCATGCCGGCCTGTGCTCCCTGACCCACCCCCACGGGCAGGCAAGTGCTGTTGGAGTCACCCCTACATCCCTCCCATCACTGAGGGGTTCAGCTTCCCCTTGCTCTAACTGGTCACCCCACCTCTGGGGTTGCCCCCAAACCCACCCTCCATCAGCAGTCAGAGAAGTCCCTAAAACCCAATCTGAGAATGTCATTCTCTGGTTATCCCCATTTGTAGGATCAAGTCTAAGCTCTTCAGAAAGGGGCTCGGTGACCTGGCCCTCGCCTGTCTATCCCATCCCAGTGGCCACTCCTGCCCCAGTGGCCACTCCTGCCCAAAGTCACCCATCGAGTGCTCTGCAAGGTATTTCCAGTTAGAAGGGAGACTTCTGCCTCAGTGGGCTCAGCCAAAGACGTGTGTTGGTGGACCTGCAGCTGGACTCCACTTCAGGGACCCTGTTCTGCAGGCCTGGGCCTGGTTTACTCATCAGTCTTCACAGCAGCCTGGTGAGGCAGGAAATGGGAGCTCAAGAGAGGGTGAGCAACTTAGCCACAGCACAGTCAGTCACTGGCAGGCTTAGGAGAGGAGCTCAGGTCAGGTTGGTAGCTTGTTGAAGTGCCTAGTACCATGCCTGCATTGAGCAGACATGATGCTAATGAAAGTGGATATTTATAACAACATAGATTGAGTGTGGACACATGCCAGCCACTCTGCTAAGATCTCTATATGCGTCACCTGATTTAATCCCTGTGAGGTAGGCACCGTCATTATTCCTGTCTTTCAGAGAAGGAGACTGAGGCCCAGAGAGATAACTTGCAACGTGGACTTGCTGGTCTCCAGGAACCCTTCTGGCAACTCCAGTTTTAGCTCAGTATTTCCTGCTTGTTGTGGGGTATCTCCAGGGTCCTGTCCTCAAGGGGCATCCTCCCCAAACCCATGGGTGCGAATGATGCTCCCACAGGCCCGGGGCAGCGAGGAAGGCACATGGGAGGGCCCGTCCCACTGTGCTGTGCACTGCTCAGCCTCACCTGGCTGCTAGGTCCAGGACAGGGCTGGCTGTGCCTGGGGCCCATGCCGGAGGGTATGAATGAAGAGGAGCAACATGGGGGGTGCTACATGACCCCCAAGGGGAACGCTGTAGGTTTGTCTCAGGAGAAAGGGGGCAGGTGGTGGCCAATGTGGCCCCACGTGGGATGAGAGGAGGAAAGGAGCCACTTGGAGGCAGGTTTTGGGCACAGTAGGAGGACCTTGTCCGGAGGATGGAGCCCCCGTGGGCGTGCCATGCCTCCCTTGCTAAGGGTTGCTGGGAGATTCCTGTGGGAATAAGGCAAAGCTCAGTGGCTTCTGGAGACTCAACCAGCCCCTCAGACGCACCAGCTGGCTTTGACAGCACTTGGGTGTCCTCTCAGGAAGGCAAAATTTTGAGCCACGTTTTTTCATTGCCTGCAACTCTTCCTCCTGCAGAGGTAAGGTGCCAGCTGGGTCAGTGGAATATTGCCCCTGCCGTGCACCACCTAGACACTCCCTGGGCCAAGCTCTGGGGATGGAGCCCCCGTGGGCGTGCCATGCCTCCCTTGCTAAGGGTTGCTGGGAGATTCCTGTGGGAATAAGGCAAAGCTCAGTGGCTTCTGGAGACTCAACCAGCCCCTCAGACGCACCAGCTGGCTTTGACAGCACTTGGGTGTCCTCTCAGGAAGGCAAAATTTTGAGCCACGTTTTTTCATTGCCTGCAACTCTTCCTCCTGCAGAGGTAAGGTGCCAGCTGGGTCAGTGGAATATTGCCCCTGCCGTGCACCACCTAGACACTCCCTGGGCCAAGCTCTGGGTAACCGTGCCCCTTCCTCTCTCTCCCCCCCGCCCCCCCACAGCCCAGTTTAACGGCAGCGAGAAGCGGCAGTCATCCCCCTCACCTTCGCGGGACCGGCGGCGCCAGCTTCGTGCTCCTGGAGGGGGCTTCAAACCCATCAAACATGGGAGCCCCGAATTCTGTGGGATCCTGGGAGAAAGAGTGGACCCTGCCGTCCCTCTGGAGAAGCAAATGTGAGTTCTGAGGAAGCCCAGCCAACCTCCCCTCGGTGCACCCAGTCACTGCTCTTGCCTTCATTTTCTTCATCTTCCTTGAAAAAGCCACAGACTGAGAGCACACGAAAGCTCCACGGGGCTCTCAGCCTGACCCCACTTCCCCTTCGTGTAGATGGGCAGGCTGAGGCCCATGGAGGTCAAGGCCACCCCCGAGTCAGTGGCAGACCCGGGATCAGAAGGGGCATCTCCTGACTCCTGGCCCGTGCGTTTTCTCTCCACACTGTGTCACCACCCTTACCTTCAGTGGCCGGCAGGAGGGACTACAAAATCATCTACACGGTTCACCCTTATTTTCATATCCTAGTTTCTAATTTCATTGCACAGCAAATGAATTCTTAAAAGGCTCAGAATAAACTAAATCCTATTTCCTAACTGTAAAACTCAGTGCAGGTTAGATTTATTTCAACTGCGGTGATGTTTTGCTCCATGTCTGTGGTATTAGTTAGGAGAGGACTTTACTCTCTTAATTTGGGTTTTCTCAGCCTCTTCCCCCAGAGATTGACCACCTCTGGTCAGTGGCCAGGTCCCTCTCTGTTACCCCCAAAATCTCATACCCCTTTCCCTTCTCACTGTCCCTGGCACTGCACTGGGCCAGGCCTTTCGCTGCTCTTCCCCTTGAATGTGATTGTCATCTCACTGCTCTGCTCTGAAACCTTCAGTGGCTCCCCATTACCTCGAGGATAAAGTCTCATCTCCCTAGCCTGCCGTTCATTCTCTGAATTGCCTCCAAACTGCTTTTTCAGTTTCTGACCATGCCATGCACCTAGACTAGAATGTGCTTCTCAAGGAACTTGATAAGCAGGTATGGGGTCTTGTGCTGGTGCCCTCAGCCGTATCAGCCGCCTAACAATCGAATGTGCAATAGATGAGAGGTCAGGGTCCAGAGGGGTGCCTTGGCCAGGACTCAAGCTCAGAGTGCACCCCAACTCATGACCTGGACCCCGCACTCTCCCCTACTTCCCTCTCCTCTTACTCTTCTCTCATCCCCACCCTTAGCACACACCTGGCACACAGTAGGGACTTCGTAAGGCCCAGAGACGAGCCAGCACCACGCACGGTTCCTCGTGAGCCTGCCTTGTGTCTGTCGTGCCCTGTATCAGTCTTGACCTGGGGACTCCGGTCCTGGCATGGCCGGCAGCACATCCCCTCACAGGAAATGCTCGCTCGGTGAGCAGGATGCAGGGTGTTCCGAATGATGTCATGTACCGCCTTTTTAAGCGTGTGTTGGTGTCTCAGGAGGCTGCAGCCTCCTTTGTGACGGGAGGCGCTCCCAGCCGGTGTCAATCATTTCTCACAGCTCACAGATTGGGTGGCAGGTTTTGCTTATTTCTGATCAAACTGTGTACTTCTAAATCAACAAACAAAGTATGGTTCAGAAATGCCTGGAGCTGTTCAGCGTGTGTCTTGACCAGCAATGGCCAGGCCTGCCCTCTCCCACTCCCGGACTGAGCCAGAGTCCCCAGGACTGGGATCCCTTCCCTTTCCCATTTCTGCCCAACAGGGCCATCAGCCAAGTCCAGAGTCGTGACTGGCTTTCCTACCCCCACTGTCTTATCCTGGCCTTCTAGAAGCCCTGACTCATCCCTGAGAGGTGTGCTTAGGGAAAATCCCACTTCTCGTAGAGCCTGATGACCAGGTAGGTAGAATCACCTAATCCCCCACCTGGGCTGATGATGCTTTAGAGTTGAGGAGGCACCTTCAATTCTGAACTGCTCCTCTGCCCCAGCGCAGGGTAGGTGGGGACTGCGGTCCTGCAGGGGATGCTGAGGATTGGCAGGCATACGTCTGCTTGGGTACCCATACCACCTGCCTTTCCTCCTGGGATGGCAGAAAAGCTGCTCAATGCTCAGGAACTGTCCCTCCTGCCTCCTGAAGGCAGCTCACCACCCCTCCTTCTTGCATCATTACCATCAGCATATAAACATATCATGACCTTTGTCAAAGTAAATAAACAAAATAACCTTGACCCGACATCCCTCTCTAGGTGCTGCCCCTGTTGAGAACAGAAGCTCTGGTCGCCACTGCATCCCCACTGCTCAGAACAGTGCCTGGCACGTAGTAGGAGCTCAATAAATAGCCATCAGATGAAAGACAATGTCTCCAAGGAGCTGTCAGCACATCTCCCCCTCCTCCCCCTCCCTTTCTGTCACTCACCACAGCCTGCTTCCCTTCTGTCGTCCGTGGCCACCAGCACAGCTGGCCCCTCCCTCTTCTGGGACTCTCTCCACTCCTGGTGTTTGTCCTGCCTCCCTGGCCATTCCTACCATCTCACCTCTGCTTAACCTGAAGGTTGGACATTCCAGGGCTCAGTGTCCAGCTCCATGCTCTCCCTGGGTAGTCTCTCTCCCCCAGGATCCTGGTGGATTCTCAGGTGTGCGGCCCCAGCCCACACCCCTCCCAGAACTCCTGACTCCCACATTCAGCTGCCTTCTTCATATCTCTGGCTGATGAGTGGGCCTCTCAGACTTAACACGTTCAAAACTGGGCTCCTGATCTCGAAGCTTGTTCTTCCCCTGCTTTTATACCTGCATAAGCAACATCACATCTATCTAGTTGTGGTCACGCCACATGCCTGCAGTCATCTTGATTCCTTTGTTTGCTTTACACGAGCATCTACTGCATTACCAAGTTCTGCCAGTTCTCCCTCCGAAGTACCACCAGAATCCATCTGGTCCTACCATCTCCACGGCCGTTTCCCATCTGAACCACTGCAGGAGCCTCCTGACTTTTCTCCCACTTCCCCTCCGGCCCCTCTTCAGCGCAGCCCAGTTGATCTTCTATAAGATCATCCAGAGGTAGGGCTGGCCAGTTATCACAGTTGGTTGGAGTGTGGTGTTATTAACCCCAAGATCAAGGGTTCAGATCTCCATACTGGCTTGCCACCAAAAATAATAATAATAATAATTCAAAGCAAGTAACATCTATTTAAAGCCCTTATTCCGCTCCTCCGGTATGCATAGGATGAAGTCCAACCTATTTCCTTGGCCCACAGGTAAATGGGCCCTGCTTCCCGCTCCACCCTTGTCCTGTACCACCCCCCTGCTCACTGTGCTTGGGCCATTCTTGCCACCTTTCTGCTATGTGGACACCCCAAGTTCATTCCTACCTCAGGACCTTTGCACTTGCTATTTCCTCCACAGAGAGGATGTTTTCTTTGGCTTTTGCCCTGATTGGCTCCTTCTCATGGTACAGATTCTCAGGTCAAATGTCACCTTCTCAGGGGTCTCCCCTGACCATTCATTCCAAAGTAGCTGCCTCCTCCCCAACCGCAGTCCCTGTCTTATTCCTACAAAGTGCTTGTCGCTATCTGAAATTGTTTCTTGTATTTATTTGCTGACTCTCCCTCTCCCTGAATCGGCCCCACAGGATCAAGGATCTTGTGAGTGGTGTGTAAATGCCTGATGAGCCAAGTGATATTTGGGATGAATGGTGATGGTTGAGTCTCCCTAATGCCCTGGTTCTGACCTGACGAGCCAGCTCCGCAGCTCCAGCACATCCCCAGGATGGCCTCCTCTTAGATTCTCTCTTCAGTCCAGGCAGCACCTACTTGGGCCTGCCAGTTGGCCCACAAACCCCCACAGGACCACCCAAGCCCAGCCTGTCTCTTGGTCTACAACCTCCTGCTGACAGGTTGGCCAGTGGCTGGCCCCAGCCCCCTGCTCCAGTGTCCTTTGCCCCTTCCCTCGTTTGATCTTTGACCCTGAGTCCCCTGCCTTTCTCTCCATGCAGAGCAGCCGGGAAAGGAGCTAGCAGCTTATCCTGTTTACCAACCAGGGATTACCCTTAACGAGGACCCAGAGACTTCAGAGGCCCCTGGAGGCCCGTCTGCCTCACTTCTCTTAGAGCCAACTTGCTCCTGTGCTCAGGGAGGGGTGACGACAAACAGTACTTCCCCAGGGACCATTCCAGGCCTTTCCCCAAGGACAGCTCAGCTTCAGATGGCTGGAACTTGTTTTTCTAATAAAACGTTTTTGTCAGCTCACTGGGGGTGTGCTACACAGGCAAAATCTCCCGGCGGACAGTCTTCCCAAATCTGTTAACTCTTAATTTCTGTCTTTGTCTAACTGTTTCTCCCAATTACAGTGTGCATTCTTACTAAGCAAAACTTGGGCCTTCATGTCTCTGGAAATGTTTTAATTATGCAACCCATGCATGCCCCGACTTCACATTCCTCTTTATTGATATGTAACCTTAGAAAGGAGGGCTGGTCTGTAGTCTGCAGCCTCCCGCTACCCCTTCCAGTGGCAGGTCTCCATGTCAGCTCCATGGCCACCTCCTAGACAGTCAGCACCCAGTCTTATTCCCATTGGATGAGGACACACATATCGGCTTCCCAGTCCTTGATTGTCTCAGGCTGATTTTTTTGTTCAGTTATACTTTTGACATAGCCACTGCCGCTAACTGTTGAGAGCACTGCCCTGTATATGGCAAGAAGTGCATAGTGACGGGCAGGCGGGTTCTCTAAGCAGAATACCAGTGGCAGAACTCTCAGAGGCACTGTTTGCTGGGCACCCCCAGGCAAGCACCAGGAGGCAGCATCCCCACCTGCACCTGGAAATTTAAAATGCAGCCTAAGGATGGGCAGGGGCCTGAAACAGCTATAGATGGGGGTATTACCCTGCAGGGCCTGTCTGTCTCTGCTGATGTTGGCAGCTGCCATTTGTTGAAATTCATCCCACTCCAGGCTCTGCTGAGCCCTTCCTATACATCGTCTCGTCTTCCTGTACATGTCCCCCCCAGGGGGGCTGGCGTGATTCTAGCTAGATAGAAGACTGAGGCTCGGGTTCAGCGTCTTGCGCAGCCACGTGCAACTTCCTGGATGAAGCGTCTCTGGCCGCTGCCCCACCCGGCATCTCTGCTTCTCTTCTTCTCTTCCTGGTCACGTGTCTCTCCACCTGCCCCTGCCCGTCAGAGACCATGATGCAGACAGAAGTGCATTCTGCGCGTGCCCGCTCACTGGCAGTTAGGATCTTTGCTTTTGCACTCAAATTTTACCTTTGGCTTTTCAAGTCATGAAAATGCGTGTTCCTCCTGTGGCCGGGGCTCGGCCCTCCGTACTGTGCCCTCCCTTCTGATTCTGCCACTCCCTTCTGGCATGCATGGCATTCGGAAGCAGCAACACTGGGATTCCTGCGTGCCCAACCAGTGCCAGAGTCATCTGGCAGGAGCATGGTGCAGCTGCCACACCCCAACTGCCCACTTTCCTAAGTGACCAGCGCTGTCCACTTGCCCCATACATGTCACAGAAAGGCACACATCGTGGCCTTTATGTCCCTCAGACAGAGAATAGCCCCCATTCAGCCACCTCGGGACTTCCTGGGCCTCACTGCAGCCACACTGGCTGCTGGCCATTTTCAGAACACACCAGCAGTCTCCTGCCTCGGGCTTTGCGCCGGCGGCCCTGCCCCCTGCCAGCCAAGCCGCGTTCCAGTTGCACCGTGGCTTCCTCCCTTGCCTCCTGCAGGTCTGTGCTGAAATGTCGCTGTCTTCAGAAGCTTCCCTGGCCACCCTGCCTAAAATAGCAGCCTACCCCGTGCCTGCTCCCACTGCATGCCCGTCTCTCATCTGCACAGCACCCATCGCCACGTGACATGTTCCGCTTACTTGGGTCTCTGTTGTCTGACTCCTGCACTGGAGCGTAAGCTTCGTGAGGGAGGTTGTCTCTGGGGCTGCTCACTGTTCTCTCCCCAGGATCTGGCGGGCGGCAGGCACTTGGTGAACGCCTATTGAATGAAGGAACATGAGCGTACACCTGCCTAGTCACAAGGAGGCTCGGGACACCAGCCCGTGCCCTCGAAGGGCGCCGAGCCTCCCTTAGGGTGTCAGGGCTGGGGAATCCTGTCCCCAGGGGGCTCACACTGCTCCCTGCTCTCTACCCAGATGGTATCATGGAGCCATCAGCAGAGGAGATGCCGAGAACCTGCTGCGACTCTGCAAGGAGTGTAGCTACCTTGTCCGGAACAGCCAGACCAGCAAGCATGACTACTCCCTCTCCCTGAAGTGAGTACAGCCTCGTACCCCCAGCCGCCGCGTCCCCCCGGGAAACTCGCCAGTGCAAATCATTTCAAGTCTCAGCTTTTCAATTTGATCTTGTTCTCCTGGGATACAGAGGAGTTTTTATGTTTGCCATTGCTGAGTTCCCAGAAGAGGAGGGGCCTTTTCCTAGGATTTATATTAACGAACCAAGAATAGCTTTCACATCTGCTGCGAGGCAGGGGCCGTATGAAGCTCTTAACATGCCTCATCCCTCTCTCAAATCTCACAGGTTTCTTTGCTGAGGAACATACTGTCTCCATTTTGTAGATGAGAAAACTGAGGCTCACAGAGGGGATGCAGCTGGCCCAGAGTCAAATGGCTGGTGTAAGTGGCAAGGCCAGGACTAGGGACTGCCGCCATAAGAATGATCCTTTCCTTAGGCTCTGGATTGTTGTATGTCTCACAAAGGCTGGGAGAGCTGGGAAGAGTCCTGCTGGCATTATCACCTCTGGCTGCACTGTAAACGGTCAGGTCTTTCTGACCCACAGACACTGCTGTCAGGACGCGCAGGCCCAGAAATAAGGAGAGGGCTTTTGGTTGGGCGCTCCCGTCATTCAGTGCTGTTGCTGGGTGGGGCCCAGGAGATTGTTCAAAACGCACTTCACAGATAGAAAAACTGAGGCCCAGAGAAAGGAGGGATTTGCCAAGGACACATAGAGAGTTAGTGACATAACCGGGCTATGAGCCCAGGCCCGTTGGCCAGCACAGGCCCCTAGAGCAGCGTGGCCTCCGCCTGGCTCCCTCTTGTCCCACTCACCATTGGTAGAGGCCATGTGCTGGAGAGTAGACCTGCCAGGCTGTAGCTGTCAGAAGAGCCCACATGTATGCCAGCTGTGTAGACAGAGGTATCGGTGCAGCCAAGGGAGGCCAGAGTGGCCTGTGCTCTCTGCTCAGGCCACCCAGTCTGCTGGGCTCTGTTCTGGCAGGGACAGTAAAAAACTGCAGAGTGGCGAGGGCAGCAGGCATGGAGCAGAGGCTGGGACACAGGACACAGAGGCCTTGGGAGTTCTCACTGAGAAGGGACGATGTGCAGAGACATGGCAGGAACTACGTATCTCTCAAGGACTATCAGGGCCAAGGGAGCAGAGTCATTCAGGAGTTATGGGCAGTCAGATTCCAGCTCCATGAGAAGAAAAGTTTTCTAACAGAGCTGATTGAGAATTAGAGCTATCCAAAGCTGCCTCAAGGCAGTGAGCCTCCCATCACTGGGGGTGTACAACCAGAGGTGGAAATGCCACCAGGTCAGGGAGAATGTAGAGGGAATTTCTAGCCGGCTGGGAGGGCAGTCAGGACAAACAAAAAGTGGGAACGTTGCTGATCTCCGAGCTGCTAGCACGTACATGCTTCATTGTCTGCCACCAGACGCAACAGCTAGGTTCAGGTGGGTTATGGCAGCTGAGGACAATTCAGTATGCTAAACCACAGCTGGGCTGGGCGGGAGGTGGCCACAGCCCGAGGAGCTATAATTGGGTTGAGGGAGGGCAGCAGCAGGGAGCGTGCGCACCATGGGGCATGCTGACAGGGCCAGGGGCCTCGACTCCCGCAGCTCTGTGCAGCCCACCACCCCCCGTCCCTGCCCAAGGTAACCTTGCAACCCAGGCACACATGAACGGTACTTGGTGGTGCTTTTCTGGGCTGTGAGAGGTAAAGGAAACAGGTAGCATCCACGATGAGATGATGTCACCAGTCTTCCCTGTAGACCTGGGCATCCTGTCCTCCCTCCTGGGCTTTCTCAGCACACTAAAGGCCCACTGTGACATGCCAGGCTGTCGCTCTGTCCCCCCGTCAGTCTCTGAGTTCGTCAGTGAATCTCATTCCTCCTGGAATCCCCATCGTCCAGGACCTCCATGAAAGGACTGATTGAGCACACAGAAGAGGAGGGGACAGAGCACCCCTGCCAAACCAGCCTCAAAAGCTGCTCACTCACGCTTCCTGCCTGTTCACTGGGGAAGTACTGAGCCCCTGAGCTGACAGGGCACGTGGACCCCCTGGGGACCCCAGCAGCCCTGTCTGTGATGGAGCAGCAGCCCACTCAATACCCAGGGTGTGCCAGGGCTGAGATACCAAAAAGGGAGTAGTATGTAAAATCTGGAACCAGTTGCACACATAATAAGACCAGTTATGTCCTGCAGAATCCATTTCTCAATCCCCTGTGCAACCCTCAGTTACAGACAGGCCCAGGTCTCACAAGTGGGTCTCGAAGGACCACAAGTATCATTCCTATTTCATCCCTGGTTTGTACCATTCCCTAGATCATAGGACCACTCAAGGGATGGACAGCACCTTGATCCTGTTCTCACAGTACTGGCTGGAGGTCCAGAGGGCCTGGCTGCAAGCAGTGGAGAGAAAGTGGGGCAGGCCTCTCACCTGGCTTCCCCACTCACTGGCCTGTGGCCTCGGCCAGGGACGCCACCTCTCTGAGCCTCGTGTCCCCATCAGTGCACTGGTGAGGAGGAGGACCTGCTGACAGACCGAAAGCGTCTCCAGCCCAGCCAGTGCCACGTAATGTTATCTCATGCTATTCCCACCCTGCTCCTACTTCCTGGGCTCAACGCCCCCTTTGTCCTTGGCATGCCCTGGCTGGATCACCCATTCTTCCCAGGCCAGGGGAGGAGATGGAGGGGGAGACGGCCCAGTGGCCTATGCCAGGGCCCCTGACAAGATCCCTTGGCAATCAGGCCCTGGCTCTGACTTCTGTACCATCCTGTCAGATTTCATTATCAGGAATGGTAGTTTGGATGACTGGTCTGTGCCCAAGGGGGCTGGAGGTGGAGGGTCGAGTTTTGCACGCTTGTCTAGAGGCATTAGATCACCACCCCCAAAGGCCAAAGGGGTGGTCTCACCTGGTTGGCTTTCCTGTGAAGAAACCCAATGTTGGGGAGCTGGGCTTGCTTCCCTGAGCAGCCCCAGTTAGTTCCTGATGGCCAGTCCAGCTGCTGGCCATGGAGCAACACCCTGGTGTTAATCACCTTGACCATAAGTGGAAGAGCCTTGGTAATGAGTGTGCCGGCTGCTGGGAGCAAGCACCAGCTTTGCCAGCCACCGTGTGAGTTACATAATCCCTCAGACACTCCCGGCCTGCCTGGCGGGGGCAGGGTGGGGACAGCATTCCCCAAGCACGGTGCTGTCAGGAGCGTGGCGCAGATTGACACTGGAATTCCAGCTATGCTGGTTCTCTGGCTCTGGCCGTTTTCAACTAAGCCTCGGGTCCTGCCTTGAGGGTGTTCTAAGGTGGGGAAAGATCTGGGGGTGTCTAGCCTCAGAGGACAGGGGCCTCCACTCCTTTCACCCTCCCCTCATCAGGTATTTATCAGGGCTCACTATCTAGCACGGTCAGCCTGTGCCTTCTTGCATGCAGGTCTGCACTCAGGGTTGTGGGAGCCCTAGGTTGACATGTGGGTGGGCAGTCCCTACCACAGAAGGTCAGGAGAAGCTATAGGAAGAAGGCTGCACTTAATGAGAAGGTAGGTGTTCCCCAGGTGTGGAAGGCATCTCAGCTAGAAGCTAGAAACCTGCCCAGCAGGGCGGGAGGTCCTGGCACTTACCCCCTCTCCCCCGCTGCAAACACTCCAGTCTTTGAAGTTCTGTTTCCCTCATCTTGTTCAGATTCCTTTGCCAGCTAGAAGGGCATCTCGATGGAGGGGATGGTCCAGGCAAAGCCATGGAGGTGCAAAAACACCTCGGCAGGTCTCAGCGATGGGACCGTTGATGTACAGGTTTCACTCACAGAGGTCCTTCCTGAGAGCGGAGGAAGCTGAATGACCTGCTGAGTCTGTAGCAAAGCCAAGTCTGAGGGGAGGCTGTCAGACCCCAGCCTAGTGTCTTCTCACCCCCTCCCAAGCATTCCTTACACTCAGGTCTTCTGATGTCAAACCTGGAAGTAACCCTCGAGGCCCACTTAGTCCAATCCCTTTGCTTTATGGGTGAGGAATCCGAGACCTAGAGGATTCATGATTGACCTAAGTCTGCCCAGCTGGCACTTGACCACAGGGACAATAGAGATGGCGACTTCTTCCCACCGTGGGGACCAGACAGATCCCTGCACCCACCCAGGCTGCCACCCATCTTCCCTGGGCCCCAGGTTCCCTTCACCCATGGCAATCCAAGACAGCACCTGCATACCCCACCCCATCACACCTTGGAGTCCCCTCCATGGCAGATGCCCCCCCCCCACCTGTGACGGATCTTCAGAGATCCTGCCTAATGGCTCTTGAACACTTCGCACATCCCCTTCTGTCTGCAGACCTCTCCCTCTCCCCATCTCCATCCTGACTTCACAGGCTGCAGGCCCTGAGGCTCCCTCTTGGCTGCCAGCAGACCTGCTGACCCCACACCAACCACTGGCCCCGGGGACACTCTCTCCAGCCTCAGGAAGCAAAGGCTTGAGCCTTTAGAAATTGGCAAGAAAATATCCAATTTTAACAGTTTCCTGTCTCTGGAAAGGCAGGCAGTCGGGGAAAGGGATGAAAAGTCCTGAAAAATCTCATTAAAAGGGTTCTTCAGGCACTTTGGACTATGAATGACTCTTCTCAAGTTCTGGTTTCATGAGTTTTTGCAAAGGAATCTCAACAAGATGAGGGAAACAGAACTTCAAAGATTGGCGGGTTTGCAGCGGGGAAGAGGGAGTAAGTGCCAGGACCTCCCGTCCTGCTGGGCAGGCTCTGCCTGTACTGTGCAGGGGCCTGCGTGGCCCAGCCCTGGGAGGGGGGCACACAGAGAGGCACTTCTGAGGCCTCAGCAGCAAGCCAGCAGCCAGGGAGGCCGCTGCCTGTTGACAAGGGCCCAGCCCCTGCTCTGTTGAGGCAGCGAGTCCTAACCCTGGTGGGGGAAATGGCCCTGTAGAGTCCTCACGAAAGGGGCCTTTGGCTGTCAACTTCCTGAAGGCAAATTCTTCAAATATCCTGCAAACATGGCCCAGAGCCTGACCTCAGGAGACGCTCTGGAGTCCGGCCTGTTTCTATCAT